GGGGACGGGGACGGGCTGCGGCTGGAGTCGAGTCCCCGGAAAGGCGGGAGGCCGGAGGCTTTGCGCGGGAAGTCCAGCCCCGCCGTCCGGCCCCGGCCCCGGCCTCGGCCTGGCCGTCCGCGGCGGCCGCAGCGCCCTGCCCCCTCACGGAGTCTCCAGCTGACGTTTCAAGGTGTTTTCCTCCCCTTTTTTTTTTTATTTTTGTGTCTTTTGACTCCACTACAGCAAAATGGTGCCCAGGTCTCCAAGTTCTCTGGAGGCCGGTAGTACTTAAATCTCCAGCCTACACATATACGCGTTTGTTGACGCGCCAACAGTGTTTTCCAGTTCAACCTGCTGCTTTATTTCTTGTCTAAAAGTGCATCGCCCCCTCTCACTCTCCTAGGTTAGATGTACTGAGGGTTTGGGGGTTTTTTTTTGGTATTTTGTAAAGCAGGTTCTTCATTAATCTGTTTGCCTTAAGCTGCTTAAAAATAATCGTTGGCTGCATCAGGAGCTGAGCGTTTTCAAAAAAACCACCAAACCTCACATCCCTCCTAAATCCTGCAGTTTTGAATTTCTTGAATGTCTGGAACGGGCATTTGTGCTTAACATCCTAGAGAAGGACGCCATCCCTGCATTCTCCATGTGCTCAACAGCACAAGTTTGGGGTTCATGAAGAAAGTTAGGTGGTTTTTTTCCATTTTGTGATTTTACTGCCTTCTGCTGGTCAAAAATGATCAGCCTGAGTTTAATTTTTTTATAATCAGCACATGATTATAGCACATGACCTAAAATTAAGCTTCAGTACAGATAGCAGCAATAGATGTTTCATCTATTTCATGTTGGGTTTTGTTATGTAATCTCATGGCAATAATATATTTCACGTAGTAGGGTCGATTGGTAAAGAGGATCTTAGGTATTGATGTTCGAAGCAGACAATATCTTGTTTCAAAGGTCTAGCTATTGGCTTGAAGGGGGGATGTAGAAGATCACCTTTCTAATCTTCCCCTGCCTTTCAGCTCGCTGCTTGTAATGGTACTTTGTTTCAGTGTTCCTATAAATTACTGAGCACCATCCTCATCTCTTTTAGGAATCCTTCAGACTCTAGCAGCAAGCATCTCTCTATAGCAGAGTTAAAGTAATAACACTAACATGATAAAATTTGAAAAATCCTGAAGAATGGTCACATGTAATTACTGTTCCTTTTCAAAACTGGAAAGGAGGGGTAATACACAGAAAGTGGCACGCACGCCATCTATGTCTTTATATTCCAATAAAAGATGAAGATTTAAAAATAAAAACCATGTTGCTGTTTTTACTAAACTCATGAAGGACTGTGGCCCCACAATAGCGGGTAATCTGTCAGTGCGGAAGGAAGCAGGCCTCCTGCCTTCGGAATTCTATGACCTGTTTTAGGAATAATAGTTCTTTAAAATTTCATCTTTGCTTTTGTTCTCAAAGACAAAGATGAATGTGCTTGTCTGTTTGTGTATGGTCTCGAATATTGAGAGCTGAGTACTTAACGTGGCTTGGATTTGGCTAAATGTTGAACAAAGAATTATTCCGTTGATCAAATGAAATGGCTATTCCCTTGCCTGAAATTAGTTGCCTGCACCTTCCTGCACGGAAATTTAATAACCATGCCTTGATTTGATAGGCCACACAATATGCCATCTGGATATACATTGTAAATCCCTCAGGTAATCAGGTTATGAGAATGAAGATATTTATTTTCTGCTTTTTGCATCAGTCAGATCATGCAAAACAAAGCTTTGATTGCAAAATAATTACTCAGGCAACCATAAATAACTATCTGTAAAGTGAGAGTTTTCTTCACATTCACTAATTCCTATTTCTGTAGGAAAGATTTGCAGAGGGAGTGGGAGAGAACATATTGCATTCAACAAACTTCTAACAAATGTCACAGAGTTTACACTTTCAACATTTTAATGGCATAAAGGCTACGCAAACCATCTTTGAGCTCTATTTGTGCTAAATTAATATGGTACTAGTAAGGAAATATCTAAATCTGCGTTCATGGAAAATATAATTTTTCTTTGTTTTTTTTAATAGGTAAACCAAGCGGGTAACAGCAAGTGGCAATGCCAAGAAGACTAAAAATTAGAGAGGATACTCTCTGCTTTATGGATCTTGGAGATATCTCCGTTACACAATGTTACACAACATTGACCCACCAAATACTGCAGAATGGTAAGATAATAGAATCGTAGAGTCATAGAATTGTTTAGGTTGGAAAAGACCTTTAAGATCATCGAGTCCAACTGTCAACCCAACACCACCATGCCCACTAAACCATGTCCTGAAACACTGAACTGCTGGGCAATCAGGGGAATAAAGCTTCTAGTCCTATATTGGCCACTAGCCTACTAGATTGCCTCTGGGAAGTCATCTAAGCATTCATCAATAATCTGCAATATATTTAGAAGAGCCCATTAAACATTTGGCCGACAGTATGTGCTTTCCAAAACACCCGTTTGTCTGTTGTCTAAACAGAGCAGATCTGGGGTTAAGGAGCTATAGGGAAGGGAATTTTTCCTCATTTATTTTTGGTTTCATTTCCTAGGGAAGTAAGCCATCTCTGATCTGTTTCCCTCTGGAAAGTTTTGAAACTGCTCAGCAATTTAGTCAAGTCTGCAGAGCCTCAGAGATACTAAATACCTCCAGTTTTTGTGGAAATAGCCGCTCAGGTAAAGAGAAACCCTGGAGTAGGATAAAGGGATAACAATGGAATCCTGGCTGTGTTAATTCTGCTGCTCACGGAACTGCTTGTTAAAATAGGTTACAACAAGGTTGCTCCCACCCATTTAAGAACAGAAAACCTCAGATGTGCTTGTGGAAGGGTTGCTTGCACTTAGCAGCACTACTGGAAATAGAATGGTTAGATAAATGATACAGAACTTTATAAAGATGAGAACCATTATTGATGAAAAACTAAAAGCTGTGACAACTATTTTGTCTCTGAAGCAAACCCGTTACTCCAGAATGTCATGGGTTTCGCAAAGAAGTTGGGATCTTCAAGGTTAATAGTCAATGCATGCACACTGTAAAGCAACAAAGTAGCATGTACGCTTGAGGGATCCTTTCAGGGAACAAAGGATTCTCCCAGGTTGCTTCTTGAGATGTTCCCACCTGCATGCACAGACTCTGACTACGCTGTCTGCTGAGGGTGGCCCTGAGGTGCTTCTCCAGACTAGACTCACCTGTCTACCCAAGTGTGAATCTGCTCATGTGTGCCTGGTATGTCAATGTCCCTGTGGAAGTAACTGTGGCAGTAATTTGTGCACCATCCTTTCAAGCAGTATGCAGGATGAAAGAGACAGACTGAGCATACCCCTCACTAGATTGCTGTTGAGGTGTTTGTCTCCGCTGATTTAGCCAGCACGCTTCTGCTCATACCACTCACTCCATCCAAAACCAGATTTTATTACTCTGTCCCAGGATTAGGCTAGGGATGAGGAGGCTCCAGTAGGATACCCCTAAGAATCTGTGCCAAGGCTACCCTTAATTTAAGATCTTAGTTAAATATCTGGCAGAGAAGATACAGAGCGCATTAGTGGCATTTACAGAGTATTAAGCTGGGAGAGATTGAAAGCTGTATTCAGGGTAGAAACATAAACTACCTGAAAATGATAAACATGAGCAGAAATTAATGGAAGCTCAGTTGGGAAGACTGTGAGTCCTTATCTGAGGTGATTTAAGTTCCTTGAACCCATCTATTAAAATGAAGAAATCTGAAAGTAATAATGCCAGGAGTCAAAGAATAAAGGCAAAAATGAAGTAGACATCAAATACTGCTGTATGAAGAAGGCTGCAGAAAGGCTAGTGCAGTTGAGGATTCAAATTTTCATTTCACCCTCAAAAAGAACTTTTCCTGCTGTAGAAGTATGAGTCTGGCCACCATTCCTGCCACCTTGTCTGCTGGTCTCCCCAGCTGTACCACCTAAAATAGTGGAGGTAAGTCCAAGAGAAAGGGAGGAACCAGACACCACTGCTGCTTCCTCCATTTTCAAATAGCACTGGTGCCTGGAACTGCCGTGCTTCTGCCTGGGGGAGGAAGCATGATCCTCCTGTGGGTCAGGCTCGCGGGCTGGGAGATTCTGCTCTAGGCAGAATGTTTTACACACAGCTGTTTTGCTTCATGCAGTAGTTGATAGGATTTGGTTTGGTATCCAGAACTACAAAGTATCTCCCTTCCAGCTGTGAGGATCCCCTGTGATCTTCTGATGTCTGGGGTGAAGAACACCATTCCCTGTAAAAGTGGTCTTTGAAACGCTGTACTTGGGGCACCTTGGCTCTGCTTCCAGCTCTGCTGTCATTAGCTTGTGCTATGCCTGGCTTGAGCCATCTATAAAAGAAATAACATGGTTGTGAGGGGTGTAGTGAAGGCTGCAGGCACTCAGAGAGTCCTCACTCCTTTACTCTCCTAGTTTCTCATTTGCCCAGCAGAAACTGGGCGCTGGGCAAACGAGGCTGCTCCTTCTTGCTCTGAGAACACCAGCATCTTCAGTCTTGCCTTACATGTCTTGAGAAGATAATTATGCTTGTACAGTTTACATTACCCGTGTGTAGTTCCTTATCTTTGAAGGAATTATTTGCAGAGAGGGGCAGAGAGGATTTGGCCCTTAATTAATTCAGTTCGTTTCACTGAGCTGCCAGTAGATGGCTCTCTGAATTTGCAGTCCCTTATTTACTACATTGTTTGTTGAATTATGTTGGACACATTTTCACTGGAAACTGTTTTCAGTGTGTTGGCTTTGAGGAAGTTTACGTAAGAAGAACAAGGAAGCAATGGACTGGGTAAATAGACTGCTAACAAACAAGACACAGGATCGGTTCGCTTTTTGCAAAATGTTTTATGGCTACAATCCAAAAGATTTTTCTTGTTCAGGACCTAATCTTATAATTATCAGGCTCTACGAGTTACATCTGTGTTCGCAGGATGCATTTACCAGACTTGATTATAATCGAGTAAAATTCATTCTCAATTAAAAAAAAGCATTTTGGTCAGGTGTTTTAAAGGATGCCTGTGGTTTATGGACAGGTACCCTAGTGAACTGGTGGAAATGCTTCTTTGTTTGCACCCTGTCAGTGTGAGAGATGTTGTTTCACAGATACATGTGTGTTAACAGAGCACTGTGTCTAGGCCATGAACTTCAGATAGATGCTTAGCCCAAATACAGCTCGCAGATGTAGACTCAGCTGTTCATTCCTCACCTTTTTGTTACATGGTTTATCAGAGAAGATGAAAAGGTGACTTTCAGCATGATAGTCCATGTTTTGACAAATTGCTGGGCTTATCCCCCAGCCCCCAAATTAGCAAGGTAACTAGAAGGGAAATGCAGCAGCTACAGTGGAGACCCATCACCTTTCACAGTGTCCTTCAACTCCCAGTGTAGTATATGCTCAGTCGTTGTCCTGCTGGAGTACTAATGCATCCATGACAAGTGAGGATCAGTCCCCAGCTTCTCAGAGACCACTTACCCGGAGCAGCAGATGCTTATTGATGATGGCTGCGTAAATCAGCTAACTCCTTTTTGGAGGTAGTGATGTCTTTCAAAGGCTGATGCATTCTACCGTTGGAATCTGGTGTAGAACAAGCTAGGTTCCTTATTTGCTCTCTAAAACATGATGAAGCATTACAATGTGTTAAGGCAGGGTAACTATTCAGTATCCTCATAATGCTGATAAAGTTCCAGGTTTTAAATTGGTTAGTAGAAATAGGTAGCCTCTAACCAAACAATAATTTAAATTAAGGTGGGCTGTATGGAGGTATTAATTGCAGAGTACGCAGTCCCTCCGCTGAAGTTAGTCTTGATTTGTCTTCACCCTCATTCTGAGATACCAGTCACCCTTGAGGACAATACATAGGCACAAACAACTTTAGGAAAAATAAGCAGCCTAACACTCCAAATATATCATCAACTGCATACAATTTCACCCTAATTTAAAAGAAAACAGTTCCGTTTTCTACTGCAGATAAAATTTACCACAAAATGGTTGTTTTTTAATCACAGGAAGCTGCTAGTTCCTAAAGAGATGCCTGATTTTTTTTACCTGATTTTTTTTTCAGACTGAAATTCCATGTAACAGGTCTCTGTCCAATTGGTCACATTCTCCTCTTTGCAAAGCATGAGTTTATTTCTTCAGACAAAACGTTTCCTTCAATTAATTCACTTTTAAGATGAGAAAACAAGAGGCAGAAAGGTTATGTGACTCGCAGTGCCTGTCAGTGGCAGCGCTCACCTTAGTACTCGAAATAACACAGTGATGCCACAACATCAATCATACTGACTTGCCAGTGATATGGAGGCAGGATTTGTTGATACCATGAATTTTAGTGTTTGGCATTATTGGATTTATAATGGTAAAAGACTGCAATTTTTTTTTCCTCATATTTCTTCATTTTTTCCTTTACTTCTTTTAGTTAATGCTCCACGCACTGCAAAATTTTGAGTCAATCTACAGAAGCTCTTGGTTCACTTTACAAGGTCATGTGTACATTTCTACCAACCTCAGTGATCTCTTACTATTTAAAGTCATTGGCATTGACTTTGTAGACTTTTGCTGGGCTGTTACTGTCTGAAAAGTAATGAGGAATCTTTGTTATTTTTCTGAAAGGCAGTTGTTGATGTTGATTCTTAAATGAATTGAGGGATTTTGTTCACATTTAGACCAACTATATGGAGAAGGCCTATTTATCTGCAAAGCAATACCCTCCCATTGAGAGCACATAATATATACTGTATTTGATAGAGATCTATTTTATATCCGTTTTGTATATTTGAACTGAAAATACATATATTTTGTATTTTTGTACATAGATGTTCCACATTAGATAGGGTGGTTAGGGTTTTTTTTAATCTCTGTTGATACTTCTGTACATTTATATGCTTCAACAAGATGAATAACAAATCATTCATAAAGAGGTGGGCTCCTGTCCCCTGCTCCATTTTAGCTTTGTAGCCTACTGCAGGGATGATCTGCAATTAGTGCAAAGGCCCTTCACTGTCAAGGAGAGACTATTGCATTAATTTAAAGCTTGATTGCTCCCAGTCACTGTCCTACTCTTCCAGCGAGGCTGTGGCCTCTCTGGCAAGGGTGGCAGAGCAGGATGTGTGTCCCCACCTCAGCTAGCAGTTTCAAGCTCTGGTATCCACACAGAGAATTCCCTTCCTCGCAGTTTCAGATGTCAGAGCACATCTGTCAGGCGCAGCTGAGGTGCAGGCACGTCTCATCCGACTGCCCTTCCCGTCGGTCGCCTCCAGCACAGAGGTGGGTGGATGGCTGGAATCAAGTCTGCCAGAGCTCATCTGGCCAAGCTCTAAGCTGCAGAAAAAGTCGGTGAAGAGCAGGGCACTGACAGATGAGCAAAGGTGACATCAGAACTCAGCAACTAGTTACCTCAAGCCCTTGTGCTACAGACTTTGGAGATGTGGGAAGCAGCTGACATATGGCTCAGACGCCTGTGCAGGGTGAGGCAGGCACTATGGGTGGTGGGTGGCTGTTTCAAGCTAAGCCATTCCTGCTCATCAGACGGAGACCTAAAGTCGCCCGTGTCATTACTGCATTTTGAAGTGTACCCTCGGTACTGAGACAACTTTACGCGTCCCACAACTTAATCTAGTTCTTCTGTCTGTGGTAGTAACTGACAGGAAGGGAAAATGAAACCTAAAATCCAAGAGGTCTCTTGATCGACCTTGGATAGCTCTGTAAGTCAGGGCTTCTGGGGCTGGACTGCTCTTTGCACCTTCTGGCGGAGATAAGAATTCCCCTTTTCATAAACACGGGATTCGCAGTTTCGGTGTGAAAGAGTTAGGCAGTGACGTTTTCCTGTAAGGCAGGACTAAATTAGCCCTCCCGCATCTCAGACTGATGCCATTTTGGAAAGGAAATTCCATACGGGATGGGGGATGGGAGAGAGGAAACATTTCTGGTGGTCCCTCATGCTTAGGTCTGTTCTTGTAAGCGCGCACACTGTGTACGAGAATTTATTCTTAGAATCATAGAAGGGTTTGGGTTGGAAGGGACCTTTTAAAGATCGTCTAGTTCCAACCCCCCTGCCAGGGACAGCGACATCCATCACTAGACCAGGTCTCTCAAAGGCCCATCCGACCCGACCTTGAACGCTTCCAGGGATGGGGCATCCACAACTTAACGTGGATGTATGAAGGTAAATAGCTCATTGGCTTACCCCGTCCACTCTGTGTGATGGACTTACCCTGTGTGCAGTTCTACACGCAGGCAGTAATTCAAGAGCAAAAGTCTTTGTCCTGGCAGACGTTTGTGGGATATTTTCTCCCCATCCCCCTTGGAGAAGAGCAGCCCTTTCTCAGTGGCATACAATAGGTCTTTGCTTTGCAGTATCTCCATCTGTATGCACGTGTGTGTGTGCATCTGTGTAACGCATGACAGCACATTTCTGTAGCGGGCCATAATCGTATCCACATGGGATTCGCTTTAGGTATGCACAGAGTCTGATTGACTCCAGTGCGATTACTCACATATGTATATATTTGCAGATTTTGGGGCCTGCCATTCCCCGGGTAAACACAGACAAACAGAAAAGCAGACAAATTACATGCAGCTGGAAATCAGCGGCTTCTGCTAGTGGAAAAATTGGTATACTCAGATTGCAGTCGCAATGTGCTAGAAACATTCACACAATGCAAACAGATGGAATCGGATGAATTAGCACTCGCTACTTTTGGACACTTCCTGGATTTCTATTAATAGTTCTCTGGTTTAGATTAACGCACAGCATATGTCGTGTAACACTGACTTTGAATTATCTGCTAGAACGTGTCCTAGGCTCAATCTTTTTTTGAAGTCCCAAAATAGTTTTTAACTCCCCGCCCCTTACCTCCTCTTCCCATTAGGATGAGCATTTACACGTCTATGGAGGGACTGGTAGCAATGACCTGTTTGGATGGAACGATGGTCGTTACGCTATCCCGTCCGTCTTGCAGATCCCCGTTAGGGACAATTTTTAGCCTTTCTGAAGGAAAAGTTGGCCCCGTCCAGGGTTACGATCGACCGAGACCCCCGTCTCGTCCCCGCGGGCACGCAGGGCGTCCGGGAGCGCGGTCATCAGCGGCGTCCCTCGGTGCCACGCCGGCTGGGGGTACGGGTGGCCGAGGGACCCGTCCACGCCACGCAGAAGCGTGACAGCCCGGAGCCGTGGAACAGCCCCAGCCCGGCGCTTCCAAGGGTCAGCACACACCAGACCCCCGGCCGCGGCTGCCAGCCGAGGCCTCCGCTGCCCACGGCCTCCAGCCGGGCTCTGCGGGTCTCGCTCCACAGAACGCTGGCGGGTGGCGAGCCGGGCCGAGAGCCATTTTCCCTGCCCGCTCGCGGGTCTTCCATTATCGCCAGCAATAACCCCAACCCACCCACCCCCTTTTTTTTTTTTTTAAGCGGGGATAAAGCGGCACCGCGGAGCGAGCTGAACAACCGAAGGCGCTCTCCCCCCGCACCGCGCCGGGGACGGGACGCGCTCGGCGAAGCCCCCCCGAGCCCTAGGGGGGGGACCCACGGAGGCCGGACCGGTGCCGGTGCGGGTCCCGGACCGGCCGCCCCAACCGAGGGACGGGGCCGGGGAACGGCCGCCGTCCCTGGCCCCCGCCCGCCCCGCCGTATGTCTGCGAGGAGCGGCCCCCTCGCACGGCGACGGAGGGGAGGAGGCGGGCGAGCGAGCGCCGAGGGTGGGAGCTGGG